AGTATAAGATGCACCCAGATTTTCAGCCTCTTTTTTGAAGGAAAAAGGCGCATCTTATACTCCAAAAAATACGGTATACGCTTGCTAACCTTATGTTTTTGCAGTCCCAGAGAGATAACAAGAGGTAATTTAACTGGTGCTTAGTGGTTTGCCTCTAGGTGGTAGGTGGAACATGTGGTTCCAAGTTGTGCAATGTGGTCCTTTTTTGTTTCAGATGTTTTACTTTTGGAATCTTTAACTCTTGTGCAGAAAGACACCTTAAAAGTATTAAGCTAGTAGTATCCCTTTCTGTTCTCTCCGCTTGTAATTCTAATACAGACTCTAGGCCTGTTTAATCCTGAAATTTAAAATTATTTTCTGAATTTCATCATAAAGATAAATGATCTGGAATGATTTTATAAATTTCTAAAATTGGGAAAGTTTTGGAATGTTTTATCACAGAAAGCTATAACCCAGTTTCAGCCCCAAAACTAATTTGCAAGATGACTTCTCATTGCAGCACATTAATTTGCCCTCATTTGACTTCTGGATTGCATATTTTTGCAAGACTATCTCAGAGTTTAGCAGCTTGAATTATACATGTTCTTTTTTGTTTTTAATCTATATTTTAGTCAGCTTAAGCATTAAACATTTTATGATTTTAATCTTAAATCTACCCCCTAAGAATCAGACATGCCATATCATAAAATAACTATTAGTGATTAGTTTGTATCATATAAATCTAACTTGAGTTGATAATATGGTCCATTACCAGCTAACTGCACAGAGTATTTTTCATTTTACACTCTTCAGTTGCTTTTTAGTGAAGTGTTGAAAATATGAAGCTTTTTCCTTTCTAAAATTGTATGCTGTCTGTCTGTTATTAGTGAGATAACAGCTCTTATAAATGTTTCAGTAAGCACTAAGTAGACAGTTATGTGCACTCTCATTCCACGCTTATTTGCTTACTGTAATAAACTGATAAAATATGTGTGGCTTGTTTCTGTATCTACAGGCACATAGATTTCCTTTAATATGTCTACTGAATTGATTGGTTATTTTCCACAAACATAGAAAAGTATATAGGTGATTTTCTTAACCATATGCCAGTGGGATTTGTTTTTGGTTATCATACTGTAGCTAAATGCATGTTAATGCATTAAACCCTGTATTTCTGTTTTTTGAACAATTTAATTGAACCAGTGCTAAAAAAAAAACAGTTCCATCCTTTCTCAGTTGAAAATTATCTTGAGTACCATAATTCATGCTAAAGTACTATACAACTTAGATAATCAGAGAAGCAGGAAACGGCACCAAACAAGCAAGAGTAGTCAAATAAAAACAATATCCTCCTATCCACATAGGATTGGTAGGACAAGCTGCTATATATAATCAACCACCATTTTCTCATTTGCCTATGCCAGAGTATTGATGATGTAACCTAGTGTGCTAATGAAATGTCTGCAAGAAAAACCAAGCCCAGAGAACAATAAGAATACCTCCAAGAATGTTAATATTTTTTTGGAATTACTTTCCATTATTTTCCCTTTGCAATATACCAAGTCTGCACACTGGGATGTTTTATCTGTTTCATGAAAACTCATTTTTTAATGTTTATTTTTCCAATGCATTTCTTAGTATTTTTTTTTTTACTGAAGTGTTTGATTTAATGTAACCATTTCACTGCAGCTGTAAATCACATCAGGCTTTGTAAAAATAAGAAACAGTCTACAAATACTTTAATGAAATATTTATGTAGTAAAATAATAAATCCATTACTCTAAGTCTATGCTATCAGTAGTTATATTAATTTATTCACTTTGCAGTTACTCCTCAACTGACAACCATAAGTGAACCCAGAATTTCTGTTGCTAATAAGCAAGTCAGTAGTTAAGTGAGTTTTGCCCCATTTTACAACCTTTCTTGCCACAGTTTGGTTTGGTTTCGGTTTGGTTTGGTTTCATTTTATTTATATGCCGCCCTGTTCCCAACGGGACTCAGGGCGGCGCACAAACCCAAGGAGAGAAAGGGGAACACAAAAAACTACAAATACAGGCATTTAAAAACAACCAACATCCACGCAGATCGTGGGGGGAGGGGAACTCATCAACCCCAGGCCTGCCGACACAGCCAGGTTTTAACGGCTTTTCGGAAGGCCTGGAGAGAGGTGAGGATCCGAATCTC